TTCGTTCGTTAGATGTAGCTCTTAATCGTCGTGCTGTGGATGTTACTGCTGTTTTGTGATTCATCTCGTGTGTGTTGGGATGATTGTTGGTTTTATGAATCTGTTGATAAAAAGTCTGAATTTCTTAATAAAAATTTGTTGGCAACTTTAAATGAGCATGTCCCTGTTCGCTCTGTCCGAGATATGAATTACTCGTGCCCATGGTACACAAAGACGGTCTGCTTGGCCATAAGAAAGCGAAATAGATTGCATGCTAAATGGAGAAAAACTCTAACAGACTTTTCTTGGTGTCAGTGCAAGACTGCTCGAATTGAAGCTACTGCCACTATTCGCCAGGCAAAAAGTCAGTGCTGTAGAGCTAGACTTGATCCATCCCTTCTATCTAGTGACTAGTGAATTGTTGAAGAACCTTAGAAAATTAAATGTTCATGGAAATTCTAAGCCTGAATGCGAGGTAAACCCTGACGTTCTAAATGAATTTTTCACTAGTGAAAGCAAAAAACATGAATTCCCTCCAACTGAGTATGAATGAGATTGAATTTCAATTTCAATTTACAGGTGTGAGTGAGATTGAGGTCTTAAAGGCCATAATGGCCATAAAGTCAAATGCGGTGGGGGAGGACAGGATCTCGCTGAAGTTTGTGAAAATTGTGCTGGCTTTTATCATAGGCACTATAACCCATATAATAAATTACTGCTAGTGCATGCTGTCATACTTCCTGTGGCTAAAAAGATTAATACAACCAGCCCTTGTGATTCGTCCAGTAAGAATTTTGCCTGTTCTGTCTAAGGTGTGCGAATCATTAATGGCAGCGCAGATTTCGGGATTCATTAACGAAAGAGACTTACTTTCACCACTACAGTCAGGGTTCAGACCGCAGTATAGTTGCTCCACTGCAATGACTAAAATACTTGATGCTGTTAGGAGACAGTTTGACAACGGAGATTTAACTCTCCTTTGTCTTTGTGATTTTTCGAAGGTGTTTGACCCTGTTAATCACGAGCTTCTATGTAAAAAACTCAAGTAATGTTTCGGCTTTACGGATAGCTCTGTCAGACTAATGTCTAGCTACCTTGGGGTAGTTCACAAAAAGTTAAAGGAATAAAGGAAGGAGATACTTCCTTTCAGGCAAGAGATATTGTTTCTGGTGTTCCACAAGGATCGGTACTTGGGCGGTTGTTGTTCAGTCTTTTTGTTAATGACATGTTCTCTGTGTGTCGATACGTGAATATACATGCATATGCTGACGATATTCAACTGTACTTGTCTAGTCGTATTGGTCTGGTTGATGATTTGTGTTGTAAAATTAATAGTGACTTGTCTGCTAATTAATATTGCATTTTTCTTTTTTAGTATTATTATTAATTTCATATAAAACATAAATATTGTCCATGTACCACGTTGTCTTAGATGTGCAATACATTGTGATCTAATAATAATAATAATCATAATAATAATAATAATAATATTAATTATGGTAAGGGCTAAGCTCAGGGCCTTACCGGGGTCACACAGGGCGGATCGTGAACGGCCTACTTCGGTGGGTTAGCTGCGCATAACCAATAAGCAGTCCCAGACCAAGAGCGGCAGGAGCCGAGGGCCTGTTATTTATTTGTTTATATAATAAACAAATCAGCGCTCAATGAATTAACATTTTAAATACAGTACACATTTTTCTTTTCGCATACATTTTACATACATATAGGATTGAATGCCCAGCAGTATGGGCAACTTACTTTGTCATCAAAACGTATAAAAACTTGTAATTAAAAACAAAAAATGCTTCTGCATTTAAGCGTACGTAACTGCCATCAACTTAGTGAGCAGATACAGAGACTTGCCATACGCGAATGGTCTTGTCAGAATAGCCAGCGAACAAGGTCTGGCCATCGGTGGACCAGGCCAACGACAAGCATTGTGGTGGATCGGCCTTTGAGCTGGTCGACACAACTTCGGGGCGGAGCTCCTCAACGGTCTTCTTGCATGCCAAATCCCAGATTTTGATTGATGGACCGTATGCAACGCACAACCAGTAGCGGTTGGGCGAGAAGCACAATGCATTGATGATATCATTGTGCTCTAAGGTGTACAAGTTCTTGCCATCATTCAGATCCCACAACAAAGCCTTGGAGTCCTTGCCACCAGAAGTGCACAATGAACCGTCAGGTGAAACAGTCACGGTATTCAAGTAACCATTGTGTCCATGGTGGTTGTTCTTCAACTTGCAGTTGGCCAAATTCCAGACCTTAACGGTGCGATCCCAACCGCACGAGACAATGATGGGGTTGGAGTGGTTGGGCGAGAAACGTACGCATGACACCCAATCGGTGTGTCCATCTTCTTGGATGGTGAACTTGCACTCGGCCAAAGTGTTCCACAGCTTGATGGTCTTGTCGCGTGAGCCAGAGACAATTTGACGATTGTCGGCGGAGAAGGCAACAGACAGCACATCCTTGGTGTGATCTTCAAAACGACGAGTAGTCTTGCCAGCAGCCAAATCCCACAAGCGCAAAGTCTTGTCCCACGAGCCAGACAGAGCGTAGTTACCATCAGATGAAAGTACAACATCGCTCACGAAGTGTGAATGGCCGTACAAACGCTTTTGTGGGAAACCGTAGTTGGTGTCTTCATCGCGAGTCAATTTCCATACGATAAGGGTCTTGTCACGAGAAGCAGAAATGATTGTATCGGGATCCTTTGGGTTGGTAGCGATTTGTGTAACCCAGCCGGTGTGTCCAACAAGGGTACCGCGCAATTGTAGAGTCTCACTCATTTTCAACGAATTTAACTAATTTTCTTGCGGAGCGCAACGAAAATACAACTCAACCTTTGGAAGGTTTTTTGGAAAAAAAGGTCCAGTTGAGATTTACTCCTGGTTTTGCGCTGTCTTGGCTCTGAACACAATATCCCATAAGGACTTGTGTCAACCCTCGCGATGGCCTGCTCCTTTGAGAGTAGGGAACTTCGGGACACTTAAAGCGACTGTGCCACGTGTGGAGATAGCGGCTTGAAGCGGAGACCCAATAGAACTGACATGATTATACAAATAACAAAAACAAATGTAATGGGTGTAGATGCTCCCGAGGAAGAATGCAGCGCATTTAGAAAGAGCAGTAGAGTTGTGCGCTCCCCGCCACAAACTCCTCTGCAGGCAAAAGCCGGCACCACGAGCACGGAGAAAGCCGTCGACGTGGTGCAGAAGGGTACACCTTTGCAAACGACAACTCCCGGCAGCCGAGATGGTGGTCATCAAACGCCAGCTGCTGCAAACAGGGACAAGCATGCCACCGCAAGCTTGGGAACTTGCGGAGGCAATGAAGATGAGCAATTGGCCCAGATTTGGCTCGTCTTGAAGAAGATGCAGAGTGCTGTCTCCAAGCAGAAAAATGTGTCCATGGACATAAAAGCGGGTATGACCCAAATCGAGGAGAGCCTAAATATACTAAGCTACCTCCGTGAGCAGCGCCGGAAGAGGTCTACCCTTTCCGAGCTGCAGAAAACTGGCCCTGGCTCGCAAAAGAGAGCTCGAACTCCATCCAACTCCCCAACAGGCGAGTCGGAAAAGAAAAAAATACTACTAATAATAATAATAATAATAGTAGTAAAAATATTATTATTAATAATCCTAATAACAACAATGGTAATAATAATAATAATGCACAGAAAACCGTACCAGCTAATCAATGGAAAACGGTTGGAAAAAGCAGAAAGCCCAAGCCAGGGCCAGCGCCAGGTGAACCCTAGGTCAATAAGGGCGAGGCGACCAGCCGCAAAAAAAAAGAAGAGGGTGAGAAAAAAGAAGAGTCTCGCCAAACTAATCATTAAGCCAGCTGAAGGCAAAACCTATGCAGAGGTGCTGGGACCGATACGTGGTAAGCTCCAACCTGAGAAGACGGATACCGTAATTCGAAGCAGTTCATGCTGGAAATGTGATCAGCAGGGCCACATAGCCTCTGCATGTAAAGAAAGCCCAAGCTGCTACCTTTGCTCGGCAGGAGATGGACAGAAAAATTCCAATCACCTGCCCGAGGCGGGGATCGTGCAAGGCCTTCAGGGATGCCCTTGCTGAGGCTAAGACAAAGCTTGGGAGAATATGATTAAATTTATACAAGGCAATATGAACAGGATTAGGGTAGCTGATGACCTGCTGGACCAATTGGTTCTTGAACAAAGAGCAGACGCTGTCATCATCAGTGAACCCTATAGAACAAAGGAAACCTGGCATGTTGACCAATCAGGCTCGACCGCGATATGGATTGCTAGCCCCAACCATCGCGCAGAGAGCAGCAGGGTCGGACGCTGCTACGTCTGGGTTAAAATGGCGCAAATAACTCTGGTGAGCTGCTACCTGTCTCCAAACGACACAGTCCCTGTCTTCAGGAAAAAACTCGAAGACCTTGAAGACGAATTGCGCGATATAACCGGCCACATAATTGTTGCTGGAGATTTCAACGCAAGAGGCGTGGAATGGGGTATGCCCCAAACAAACACCAGGGGAAGACTGGTCCTTGAAATGGCAGCCCACATTGGCCTGACCATCCTCAACACCGGAACGACCCCTAAATATCGAAGGCTGGGTTTTGGATACTCTATCCCTGACATAACCCTGGTCTCAGAAAGCCTTCTTCGAAGGGCTGACGGATGGAGAGTGATGGAAGACCTGAGTGGTAGCGACCACAAATACATCACCTTCCAAGTCACTGACATAACGCGAGGGCAAACACGTAGTATCTCTCTCAGGAAACCAGGATGGAACCCGTCGATGTTCACAAGTTCGATACGCACTCCTAGGAGATTCCCAAGGTATTTCACCCACAACAGGGAGTCTTGTACTAAGCTGGTCGAAGAAGCTATGCGCTGCATTCACCGGGCATACAAAGCCTCAATGCTACAGAGGAGAGCATGGTCAGGTAAAAAGCAGGCATACTGGTGGAATGACCGAATTGCTGAGCTGCGAAGGGCCTGCCATAGAATGCGGAGACTCTCATCGCGCGCTCGTGGTAGACCAGAGGCACTGACCAGAGCAGCAGCCTACAAAAGCGCTAAGAAAGCACTTGGGGCCGAGATACAGAAGATTAAACGGAACTGCTGGAAAGCGCTATGTGACGAAGTGGATCGCGATGCCTGGGGCCAGGGATACAAAATAGTGATGAGACAGTTCTATACATCATCGCAAGCGATGGATGAGGCCCGAGTTAAGAATATAGTGGATGCGCTATTTCCCACACACCCACTAAGAGCCGACACAGTGTTCGTCGAGGAGCAAGCCGAGGCACCACTGTTTTCGACAGACGAGCTGAAGCTAGCCCTGCGAAGCATGAAAGCCGGCAAGGCTCCAAGCCCAGATGGCATACCAGCGAAGGCAATCAGGTTAGCAGCGAAAACGAGCCCTGATCTCCTGCTTAACATGTACAACAGCTGCCTTAAGGCCCGGGTCTTCCCAAGCCAATGGAAGAAGGCGAGACTGGTGCTTATACCCAAGGGCAAAGGGGACCCAAACTCTCCTTCATCCTTCCGGCCACTCTGCATGCTAGACACAGCAGGCAAAATGATGGAGAATCTGCTCAAAATACGCTTGACGTCAGCCATAGAAAGCGAGGGAGGCCTTTCACCCCGACAACATGGCTTCAGGAAGGGACACTCAACTATAGGAGCAATTGGCGAAGTAGTCGAGGCGGTACATAAGGCCGAAAAAGCTTGCCACCAGGCGCGGCCAATAGTGCTGCTAGTCACACTGGACGTCAAGAACGCCTTCGACTCGGCAAGATGGGACGACATGCTGGAGGCCTTGGAAAGGTCATTCAAGGCTCGAACATACTTGCTAGATATGATCCGGTACTACCTCAGAGACCGTTGGCTTCTGTACGACACAACACAAGGTCAGAGAAAAAGACGTATAACCGGCGGAGCGGCACAGGGGTCTGTACTTAGCTCGGACCTCTGGAACCCCACGTATGACAGTCTGTTGCGCACGGAAATGCCGGAGAGCGCCTTCCTTGTCGCCTTCGCGGACGACGTGGCCGCCGTCATAACAGCAAGAAACGTCCAGCTAGCACAGCTCAAGCTTAAGCCTAACGTCAGTGGATGGATGAGCGATCACGGTCTACAATTGGCTACAGCCAAAACGGAGATCGTGCTCCTCACCAGAAAACGGATCCCAACAATTATAAATATGATGGTCGGACTTCAACTCGTGACGACTTCTAGGTCTACAAAATACCTAGGGGTGAACCTTGACAGCAAACTCACATTCTGGGAACACATCCATGGAGTATGTGAAAAAGCTGCGCAGAGCACGGTGGCCCTAAGCCGGCTGATGGCGAACGTGGGCGGCCCGAAGCCATGCCGCAGGAAGCTTCTGATGACAGCGGTCCAATCGGTGCTCCTGTACGGGGCAGAAATATGGGCCGACGCATTGAAAGTCAAAAAATACTGGATTCAAATGTCTTCGGTCCAGCGCAGAGGGGTACTACGAATTGCTTCTGCATACCGTACAGTGTTCGCGTCATGCCAATTGAGCTACTCGCTTACGAGCGAAAAGAGATTTACAATCTCAGTGCCGAGATAGGTCGAGCAGCTGCCGCGGCAAGGGCGCGCGAGCAACTGATCCAGAAGTGGCAATAAACCGGAACGCGAGCACAAAAGGTCGATGGACGCACTCCCTGATAGCCGACCTTCAAACATGGCTGAACAGACCACATGGGGAAGTCGATTTCTACCTGACGCAATTCCTCACCGGTCATGGTTACTTCCGAGAATATCTTCATAGAATGGGAAGGGTGGACTCACCGTTCTGTCACTACTGTGAAAAGGTCGAAGATAACGTGTACCATACATTCTTCACCTGCCAACACTTCTTGATTTCGCCCAGAATGTTGGAAGAAAGACACGGAGACATAACTCCGAACAACATAGTTGGGATAATGATCTCCAGCGCAGAAAAGTGGGAAGCAGTTGCGAGATACGTGAAATTCGTACTCCGCTGCAAACGAGAGGATGGTTGTCTACTGAGGACACCCGAATGAAACGCCCCTACAAAAGAGCAGCCCCAAGGCTCTAACAGCGCGCTCCTGCATCTGAAGACATGCAGAATTGCGGTGCCATATGCAAGATTTTGCGCGGGCGGTGGGAGTTTGGGTTTTAGTGGGTAACCCAACACGCTTCGGTGGGAGTCCCACACTCGGGGAAGGTAGTATAGAGACTAGCGCCCCCAGCCAGTGCATAAAGCATTTCCCTCTCCTACGAACAAAAAAAAAAAAAAAAATTATTATTATTATTATTATTATTATTATTAGGTGGGACTTGTATTTTTGTTCGTCTCGTGGGACGTTTATTTTAAGGCGGAACTGAGTTACGGCTTTTCATAATAATTATATGCGACTTTTATTTTTCTCGTCTCTCGTGACCTTTGTTTCAAGACGAAAATGATTTACGTCCCACGTTTTCTCTTGATACAATCGGGTACATGTACTGCCGATTTCACGAAATTAAACGAATATATCTCCGAGCTCGGTTAATGGAATTCGATTTGCTAACATCTGACAACCCTTAACCCTGAAACTACGTAAAAGCAAAGCTCTTTAATTTGATACCTCTTTTTTGAAAATCGAGCGAACGATACAGATTTGATGGCATGAACAATCGTGGAGTTAAATATTTAACGCGTCAAATCTTCGAACTCAATTAAGAAGTTCAATTTCAATAAAAGTCCCATATAATTATTAAGAGAAGACGTAAATCATTTCCGTCTCGAAATAAACATCCCGAGACAAAAAAATATAAAAATCCCATATAATCATTATGAGAAGACGTAAATCATTTCCGTC